ATTCGTATCTAGAGATGGTTGGCAATTTATAAATAAGATCTTTCAACCTTTGCCAGAGAGTAAAACTCCATAGACGTTAGGTCCGGTGACCGGGCCGGCCAACGGTTGTGTCCTTGGTTGGCTATCCAATTATTACCAAAAGTTGCTGCCAAAAAATTGTTGACAATTGCAGTGTTGTGAGGCCAAGTCCCGTCTTGTTGAAAATCGGCCGTCCAAAACCGGTGTGTGTGTGCAATTAGCCTTACTTGATCAAATCGTGCATTTTAAAGTCTACATGAAAAAACCTAAAAGCTATGTGTTTCAAAGATGACTTTAGCAAAACATCAAGTGTGCTACATTTTTGGAAAGGTAATTTTAAGCTTCATTGATATATGCAGGAATATACAGGGTGTCTTAATGAAAACATTATTTTACGTCGATAACTATTGATATCTTATTTGAAAAAATAAGTTTTTCACACCATAGTGCTTTGGAAATGTTTTCATAGCAACAAGACATTTTTGATAGGAAAAAACTTACAACTTTTCCATAATGCACATTTTAGAAAAACATGCTGTAACTAAAACACGATGATAGATATCGATATGCGGTTTTCACCATTAAGTTTGTCATAAAATTTGAACTTCAGACACAACCATCAGTTTTCATCTATCTAGTTTGGAAACAGAAGTTTTCCTTTGAAAGTGTCCAATCCTCTCGAATTATGTTATATTTGATATACAGGGCTATTAAAATTCGTTTCTGTACATGGTGATCTCGTTAACGATAAGATCAGCAAATAAAAACTCCAAATAAGGACTTCAATTTTTTGTGTATATAAATCACTTCATTTCAATTTTCATATAATTATAGTGTTTGTTTCGGATGTTATTATTGCTATGATTTCTTTTTCTGCTTATTAAAACACACATAATATATTTTTGATGTAGTTATGTTTCAGATGATCATAAAAGGTTTTTTTATTCGAAGTTCATTGTAGAAAACGCTCAGAGCAATATGAAGAGGTGCCTAAAAATAAAAAAAAACTCTACGTTACATAGGGAGACGTGAAAGTTGCTATTGTGTTTTTACTCAACTCAGTCAACCAAGTTCCAGGGCCGTAATTTAAAAAGGAAATAATTCACACAATTATAATCAAATATTACCAAAACAACCTGAAATATGAAATTGAATTTAATTTCTCAGTATGAAGTGAACGTCGACGATACAAAAACTATAACAAAAAATACAGGTCCGTATTTAAAAATTCATAGATGGGGGTAGCCCAAGTCAGATGACACCCTGTATTGAAGATTCATTAACAGATTCTGGTAGCCCACGTCAAGTGCCACTAGCAAAATATGGACAGATTTCGATATGTCTGCGAATAAAGAAGATATAGGCAAAAAATAATTTGGGATTTTTTTGTTTTTCCTGTATATCTCCAGAACCAAAAGAGCTATATTTGATTTTTTTTACATCATTGAATAGGTCTCTAAAATACGCAACTTTGCCATAATTTAACCGACACTCTTTCTCTTATCGTTTACGAGATCCCCATGTACAGAAACGAATTTGAATAGCCATGTATAATTTTTTTTGTTGGTTACAAAACCTCCTGTATCTCTGTATCTGTAGAGTAGGGAAGGTAAGTGTAGGCCCCTCAGTACTTAGGCCATATGTGACCCATTGTACATCCTCCCGAGGAGGACCTCCTAGGTTATCGTCCATCCTGTCCTTTCCAAGTAGGTGGACAGATCACTAGGAGCATCTCCTTTATATCGGCAGGTGAAAGCCAATACTCGCCGAACACACACTCTCTTATTGACGATAACTCCGTACACTCGCATAAGAGATGTCTGACAGTTTCATCTTCCTGTTCACACATCCTGCATGGAAGTGTGTCCACTAGCCCCATATCATGGAGGTGTTTTCTTAGTTGACAGTGGCCAGTCAGAAATCCTACTGTTTTCCTGGTTATCGCCAGATATTTCTTCGGCGCCAGCTTCCCAAGGTCGCCCAGGGTGATCCTGTCAAGATTGCATCCTTTGATTTCATCCCATCTCTTTGGGGATTGAGCATGGGTGTAACATTTGGTTAGTTCCGCCATTATCGAAGTCATCAGGCCGTAGATGCCACTGGGTCCATAAATTCTTAGTCCAGCCGCTTCCTTGGCTAAAGAGTCGGCAATGCGATTTCCTTTACTCCTGTCGTGCCCTTTAATACACCTCAGGATAATGATATTATCTACTGAGGCTTTGGCTAAATCTTGGTGGCACTCTAGACTCTAGTACTAGCCCTGTTCGAGGCTAATAGGGCTTGTCTGCTACCAATGCAGATTGTTATGTTTTTGCCTTAAATTCCTTTCCTGGTTATTTGTTTTGTAGCGATTAGTATACCAACCAGTTCTGTTCAAACAATGTTATTTTTTACCATTCCCCACTTAATCCTTAGGCGTAGTGATCTGAAGTAAACTCCACATACTGAGCCTTCTTTGGTCTCTTTCTCTTTCCTGGTTAGCGTTTTCCTCTTAATTGTCCGATGATGCACATTTTTCTGTCAATCAGAACGAGCAACAATATCGAGATTCTATTTCAAAATTTCTCGATATCAATGCGGTATTTCAATTTCACAATCAGCTGCATGTAACGCAATAATTGTTATTCCCGCCCCTGAAAAAAAAAACATTGTAACAAGTGTTGCTCAACTGAAACCACCTGATGCGTAACATTATTTCTCATCCCGATGATTACCGTGACGATTCAAAATAATAATTATTTATAGCAATTACCATTGTCGAGCCGGGCAGCATTGGAAACTATACGAATACATATATATTTTAGTAGTCACAAGGTCGCATATCGTTTGCCTTGATGAAACTGTAATACGCAGAAATGAATGCATGGATCAAACTTTATAGCTAGAGACTTTGTATCGAAACACGTAAATGTCAGTAAGAGTGATGTAATGGTATCCTTGTGTTCAGTCATCACTAAGAGCGATGTGTTTGTTTTTTCATACTCATTATATAGCCTGTTATTGAATAGATTGAATTATGGAAAACCCACTTCACCGACTCGAGGAGCCGATATCGATTGGGGACTATGTCCAAAATATCTCGGAGATGATGTCATTATCAAAACTATCCATGTCAATGTTATGCGGTAAACTCATTTCTGATTTACAAGGGTGTATATTTCAATGTATTAGATCGTAAATCAAAACGATTTTCCGGTTGTGTTTTGTGTTGTATCATGTATTTCGTGCTCTATGCTTCATAGAGCGCATTTCTTTAATGTCCCCCCACTTTTATTTTTTTGAACGGTCAACTCAAAAAAATTGAAATTTGGGATAATAAAATTGAAGCCCCCTCCTTTTTATTTTAATAACGGGTCAACTCAAAACTTTTAAATTTGGGATAATGAAATTAATGCATAAATACTTTATTTTGAAGTGAAATTGATAGATGAAACTTTCAAGATAGCGACTGGGAACCATCTGGGAAAAAATATTAAATGGAAAGGGGGGTCTTGTGACACTTAATTTTGAAGTTCCTGACGAATACTTCACAACCTTAAAATATGAAGTCAATATCTTTAACTACTACAAAAAGGCGGAACTTTTAATAATTGCCTGAATACATTTTCATTTAACTACATAATATGAGGTAATAAGCTTGAGAGCAGTTCAGAAGATGTTGGAAATGGTTGCCTTGAACTTTTTGACATATGAACAGCCTGTACGATATTTCACGCCGAACATTTTCGAACACACTAACGTCAATATCTCTACAAATATTTCTTATTATCTGACGTATATCCATTATTGAAGCAGATTCAGTTTCGTACACCTTTTGCTTCAAATAGCCCCATTAAAAAGTCCAAAGGTGTCAAATCTGGTGAGCGGGCTGGCCATTCTGTAGGACCAATCCAACGACCTGGAAAAGTAGTATCCAAATAGTTTCCTACTTGTCTGGAGTAATGTAGTGGTGCTCCATCTTGTTGGAATACAATATCCATATCGAATTCATTAGGATTCGCTTCGACGATTTCAGTGATGAGAGGGTTAACAGTAGTTTCCAGCATATTCAAATACAGTTCCCCTGTTGAATTTTGATCAATAAATTGAGGTCCTACAATATGGTTCTCAATATTTCTGCCCGAACGTTAATTTTTTCTGGATATTGGGTATGTGTTTCCCGGAAAACGTGGGGGTTGGTGTCATTTCAATAACGGCAATTTTGGCACTAAAACAAATATTGTGGAAATAGGTAGGATGCATTGCAATAGTTTCCGTCATGATTTTGCAGAAATCTGTTCTTCGATCAGGGTCATCTTCAGTTAATTGGTGTACCATTTTAATTTTGCACCTATTCCTCTTCAAAAGTCTCCACGCAGTAGAAGGAGACACCTCACAAACATTTGCGACGGAATAAGTAGACTGTTCAGGATTTACTAACATCTCACCAATTATTTGCACTTGCTGTTCTGGACCTGGGGGCTTTTTGTTATGTACACTACCGGTAGTTGTGAATTTGGATACAAGTTCCCTCAAATATTTTATACAGATAGGACGATTCGGAAAACGTTCGTTGAAAAATCCTTTCGATCTCGTGAAAGTTACGCGTCACACCGCAAATAAAAATCACTTCAATTTTTTCTTCCAATGGACGAGAATTGACCATTTTAGAGATTGTTGACATGGTACCTTTCTACTAGCAAAACTGAAAACTAAATGAGAATATTCTAACTGAACAATTATTGTCGTACTGACATTTTTTGCCATTTTCATAAACAAAAAATAACTTAACAAACCTTATCGGGTTGTTGGGATTGCCATATGACAGATAAAAAGGAATATTTCTAGAAATATCGATATTAATGTGTTTGTCTTCAGGAAATTATTAAACGTTTTCTTCTCAGAGTAGTTGTTTCCGAATGAATTTACATGTTTTCGTGTGACTGTCTACTATATGTTTGTAATGAATGCTTAAACTGAATTGAAAATTTAATTTATTTCAGATGGAGGGTCAGATGAGGATAGGCCAGTGACAGGTGAATATTTTTGTGCAAGTACAGGCAATTAGTAAGCAAGAATTTGCATGTGACCTCAAGGAACACGGGTGCGTTCTTTTCGAATGGATATTACGACGTCGAAAAGAACGCTGGCCCGAGCTCCTTCTAGTTAGTACTCTTAGAAAAACGGGAATGAGTTTGAATGACTTGATTTTGTGATAACCAAAATAACTGTTTTCTTTTTTGTGGGTTGTCTAACACTAGTTTTCTTGTAGCGTTAGCTTTGACTTCTTTTAAAAACAATTACATAAGCTCAAAGAAGGTTCTTCTCAGAGCAAATGCATTTTTATTATGTAACAGGTGTGAAACTAATTTGTCCTCAACTCAAAAACCTGCAAAGTGGGATCTATTCCTTATTTTGATTCTTGATATACGAGGCGTTGTTGATAAGTAGTCAGCCTTGGCAAGAGAACACAACTTTATGGGGCAAAACTAGTTTTATTCATCAACATAATTACTTTTAAGCTTTCTACATTCCGTCCAACGACTCTGCAAATTTTCGATATCCTGCGAATGATACGGGGAGGTCATCAAAATAGGAACTTGTCTGTTTTTTCAATGATCTACTTCCCCGATTCGAATTTATTCCCACCGATTCATTACTTCAAATCTGCGAATAATTGACCGATTGGACCAAATCAGGTAAATACGGTGGATGGGGAACTAACTCGAAGCGCGCAATTTATGGATTTTGGTCATTGCGACAGTCGATTTATGACTTTTCTCAGTCATAGTCTTTTTGGCTTCAGTTTAGTATCGAATCTGTCCAGCAGTTGTGCATGATACTCCCCGGTGATAGTTTTGTATAATTATTGTAGTGAATTTGGCAGAGAGGCAAATGCCTGTCGGAAGTGATTTAAGATCTGTCAAAACATTATCCAGATCGGATTCGGGACATTGATGAACCCAAAAGTGACATCGAATCTAGTCTGGAGCAGCCACAAAAAACTAAAGAAACTCTCGCACAGAATGAGACATGGCCGGTGGTAGAATGATACGCTGCCCAAACCAAGATTCGTCCCTCGATTCATGAGATATTCCCATCAAGCCGACCAGAAATTCCTTCGATATCTTTTAGAAGGTCCACATGAAGACCTCAATGGAATTACTGAGACACCTAAACCGATCTTAATGGAGATTGACGAAAAATTGAGCGACAGCGAAAAAGCGCAAGAGTCCTGGCTGAGATACTTGAACATGAACAATTATAAAATTGTAGATAATTTTGTTGGTCGATTAAAATGAAGTGCACACACTGTAGATTCTCATCAGTAACCTTCGAGTATTTCTGGGATTTGTCTCTCCCTGAAACTACAAAGAGCTGGCCAATTGAGTTTGTTACAATGCTTGCATTTCTTCACAAAAGAGGAAACTCTGGATGGAGATGAAAAACCAACCTGTTCCTTATGAATGAAGAAAATGCACAAAGTCCCTATCAATCCATAAGTTTTCCCGCATTTTAGTAATTCATTTGAAAATATTCTCTCCAACGGAAAGATTCAGAGGCAAATTGAATGTTGCCATTGAGTTTTCTTTAGAAGGTTTAGATATGAGCAATTATCTAGCAGACGATGTGGCTCCTTGTCGTTATAATCTATATGCACTTTCGAATCACAGTGGGACTACTTACAACGGGCGTTACACAACATATTACAGACACCCTTGTAGTGGCACGTACACGTGTCCCCAACTTCATCAAAATCACTTGTGAGTGAGGAGCCACATGTCCTCTTTTATGAACAGGAGGGAACGAAGCAGCACTTTTGAGGTGTTTTTTTTGGCAATGTGTATCAGATACTTAGAAGATGTGAACAAGGCAGATGACTCAGCAAAAAACTGCTACTCGTCAAATTCTTGGTTAAATTATTCTGCTCATTCCAAGATAACATTAACAGTATAATATAATTAGTGGTTTTATATTATTCAACATTATTTTCAGTGCTGGGACCGATAGTTGGTATTTGCACGTAGCAAATACAGAAAGTGTCGTCGAAGTATGTTTATTGACGCTCCTCATTATTTTAATTTGCGGTTTTGATTGTGTAAGTACCAGTTCTGGAAAAGTTGAAATTACCTGGTGATTCACGTGAAGTTGTTTTCAATTTTGAAATCGTTTATACTTGTTTCTCATTCTGTACAATGCCGTGTTTGAAACATTTCGAAGAATTCATCTTTAGTTTTCATTATTGAGAAGTTGATCATTATTTTTTCATTAATGTCATACTTTCTATTTCGTTTCTTTACATCAAGAACACGTACTACATGGGCTTAAGTGTTATAAAAGCTCTATTCTGTCATTATTTTTTCTTTTTAAATCAATTTTGGCAGCTGCTGTCACCAGATGCAGATTTCTCCATATCAAAATTTGGAAGTTAGGCATTTCCTAAAAGGCTGTAGGGTTCGCACGAAGGCCAGTCTTTTTGAAATCTGATCATTTGGTATACCTACTTATATTCTCCCTCATTATGGGGTTCCAGAACTGAATTTTAATCTTAATTAAAATGATTTTCATTCACTATTCTCTTCTCGATAGATTGACAAAAAGTCTCTTATTCGTTTTTGTTCTCTTAACTTCATGTTACTCTACGAGGATGGTGTTTTTCTCAGTCCAAGAGAAAATGAAAGTCCAAGAAACAACGTGTAAAATCTTATATAAAAGTAAAATGTTAAATTCTATAAAATAAACGAAAGTAGAACAAAGGAAATGCCGCCAATTTTACCATGCTATTTATTAATTATTTAACCTGTTGAATAACTACAAACGCACCAACTCAGTTTTACTTTTACGTTAGGGAGAGTGGTGTATAACATTAAATTTGCGCCCTTTTTTTGTAATTGTAATATGAACTCTAACTAACAACCCGCACCAGGAACCCCAACAATATGTAGCCTCTGTGCAAATAGGAAGTGGACTCTGGCAAAATAAATATGTGAACTCTCTCTCAATATCAACTGGTTAGTAAAAAAAAAACAAACACTCACATAACGCCTCTTTGGGTGGTTCATGGTCAACCTTAGATTCCGTTGACCCGGTGTGTCTTTCTACACCAACACTTTAATTTCAAACTCCCCTGTACCCTTTACCGGTTTATGATTCCACCACCGATTTTTTTTTAATTTCGCACCACGCGCTTACAAACAAAATAACTCCCCTATTTAGCCACCTCCCTCAGCCTCGAAGGCCGATCACCTCTCGACGAGATCCGGTGACCGACCTCTTGTGTCTCGCGCAAAAACCCTCAAGCCCTGGCGTCAGCAACGCTAGCCACAAAAACCTCATCTCAGCGTTTTTTAACTTTCCCAAGCGTATGATCATCGGCAGGGTGTAATATATACATTTGTTTAGTCTAGCCCAACTTGTACATGACCACAACGACGCTCAAAGGTCCGACAGTCATAAAGTAGTTCAGCGCTTTTTCAACTGGAAAAATATCGATTCCGAAGAAACGGGTGATCGACCTCGATCTCTATAAATGAAATAATATTTTTTGTTAACTATCGCAATGGCAGTTAATACATTAGTCTAGTACATGGGTGTTTCTGAGCAGTGTTTGGCCATGTTTGAACATAACAAACCAGAATATTTGCATCGATACGTCACAATGGATGAAATATTGATCCATCACTTCATCCCGGAATGAAAACGATCGTCATCTGAGTGGAGAGCAACTTGTAACCTCGTCCAAAGCACACGAAAGCACAACAATCAGCTGGAAAGGTTATGGCTTTGGTACTTTGGGATTTTCGTAGTCTAATATTCATCGACAATCTTGAGAAAGCAAATACCATCAACAGCGAATATTATATAGCGTTTGAAGGTCTGAATTGCGGAAAAATGACCCCATTTGAAGAAAAAGAAAGTGTTGCTCAATCAAGACAATGCCATAGTGTCACAAATCGATGAAAACGACGGCAAAATTGCATGAAATGCTCCCGCATATACCATATTCGCCAGATTTGGGTCCCAGTGACTACTGGCTGTTCGCAGACCTCAAAAAATGCTCACGGGTAAGAAATTTCGCTGGAACGAAGTTGTTATTGCTGAAACTAAGGCCTATTCTGAGACAAGAGATGAATCGTTCTACAAAAATAGTATTTAAACGTGAGAGGGGCGCTGAAATGATTGTGTGGCTGAAGTGATTGTGGGGATTACGTTGATGAATAAAGATAATTTTGAACAAAAAAACGCGATTTTCTTCTTAGGCTCGGGACTTTTCTTTTCGATCTCTTTATTTTCTCTCAGGCTCCAAGTCCAACCATTTTCAAGAACTGGGAAGCAAGTGATGAAACAGTGGAATGTTTTCCAGGTGCTGGGAAGTTGTTGTAGATAGTCAAGCTTTCAGAGATGTAGTCGTATAGAGAACTATCCAGGTGTCTTTGATTCTGATGTTAGATTTCTGATCGTTTTCTTGATTAGTTTTAGGAAGGCTTAGAAGGGATATATGTAATTATTTATGGAAAGCTAGGCTTTCCGCTGTCAGATCTATTTGAATCGGTGGCAGTTGAATGGCTCGTATTTCGTATATTCCTCTTGTTTCATTGGATATTGTATCTTTTCAGAATCACTGGGTCCTGATAGATGTGTTTGTTGTACTTTTATAGATCTCTGGATTTGGATCTGGTTATAACAATATCTTGTATAACAAAATTGGTACGTAACTAAACCAACACAAGTGATACTGAATTTGTTAATGGTTCTGGTAACACTGACTTGATTTACGGACTCATTAGATAACCATATACTCGATTAATTTCTTCAAATCTGAATGGAATTAACATGAAAACAACTATCGAAAAACCAGCAGTAATTCAAATCTGAAGGTTTAGTTTGGTACACATTGCTCTTTACATATCCCCATAAAAAGGAATCTAATGATGAAAGATCAGGTGATCGCGCTGGCCATTCAATCGATCCTCGCCTCCCTATCCATTGATTGGGAAATGTATCGAGGTATTGCCGGACATTAACTTGATAATGT